AAAAGAAAGATGAAAGATAGACGAGAGGAAAGATAATAGAGTCTAAATGTAAAATGGAAGTGGAGTGTAAACATTGCACAATACTGAGTTAAGAAAACTATGATACTAGAGAAATAGAGGGACAGATAAAGAGAGAAAGAGAGCGATGTTAATTACACGAGTAATGAAATGAACTAGAGATCATCAGTGGTCTTCCAAGCTATCGCGGAAGAGTCGCCTCCGAATATGGAGGTTGTAATCACACGAAACGAAATATCGACAAGCGTATGTATATAGATACGAACAGGCACTCACACATACATACTAATCGATATGGCTAATTTCGTAAGTACAGTCATGGCCGCTCTTAAAATATACCTTGGAGAATTAGCGACTCCAAGAATTATATATATATATTTATATATATATAATCATTTCAATTTTAAGCTAATAGTACGTTATATTACTTTGTACGGTATTTGTTTGTAGCACGGAGCCTCGTCACACCGACGTTTCCGCATTAGTATCCTTCCTGAAACAGCAAAAATCGCATCAAGTCACCAACTGCGTACGAATAGCGGTAAACTGAATTTTCTAAACATTTAATTCAACAACGAAGACACGTATGACAGCTATTATCTAAACGCTTACCTCTTCACTGATCGTTTTCATTTCCAAGAGCAAGCGTAAATTACAGAGAAGATAGAGTTAACGACAAGATTCGAATGACAGTAGAATTTCGAAGCACCTTCACGGTATGTAAAAGGTTAAAACTTACTCGGTCTCTGTGATTGTTTGCTCGTATTGCTGCTGTTGCTGCTGCTGCTGTCTGAGCGCAGCCAGTTCGTTGCTGTGCTGTAGATCGTGGGTCAACGAGCTGGACAATATCCTACCGCTCATTGGTAAAATGTACTCTGGCGCGTCCTCCAGCACCGTCGGGGTGATCTTCCCTCGCTTCAGGCTACCGTATCTCTCCGAACCGCTGAGATTGTCGTGCTGAGACCCGTGCAAGCTCTGGCCTCGTTTCAGGCTGCCGTATCTCTCCGAGCCGCTGAGGTTCTCGTGAGTCGAGTTCTGCGAGTGATGGCTCATACTGGACGCGAGAATCCGAGAAGCGATCGGCAGCATGTACGGCGTGGGAGACACCGTGTGGTCTTCCTCCGCCGTGTAAGGGAACAAATATTTCTCGCCGAGATGGTGAAGCTTTTCCTCCCCCTCGGAATAATTTTCATCCGGCTGACTCTTTTGCGGCGAATTGATCTCAGGGTAAGGCAGCGGATTCGGGCTGGACGTTTTATTCGAGGCCATCTCGTTGTCCGATATGGTGCCCCCTGACCACTGACTTCCGCGTACGTCAATTACTACGAACGAAATTCGTTGGTTTTTAATCACATCTCTCTTTCCCTCTGTCCAGCATGCTGAACCAATTTCTCTTCTATCCGTCTCGAACGGCTACAGTCGATACATGATTCTATCGTCGCGACGACACTCACCGTTTGACGACAAGTATGCCTCTGGCAACTGGGAACTCCACCTAGGCGCATAGATGGGCTTAATGTTCGGGAAGAGTTCCGTGTTTGAGCAAAGTATGTTCAAGTGTTCGGCGGGGTTGGCGTGGATATTGGGCAAGTAACTGTGCGCGACAGGTTGCTGCGTCGATACTCCCATGTTTCTGTGGGACCTCGACGTCACGTCCTCCTCGTCGGAGCTGTGAGAGCTCGCGAGATCCAAGCTCCTTCCGCCACCTTCCGCCTGAGACCCGTCTGAGTCTGATTCAGAGTCTCGCCGCTGATTTCGTGTTTCTGGCGGCTCTAGAAGTTCATTCCGGTTCGTAGAGAATTCTTCGGGATAGTGGTTTATAAGTACGCGAGTTTGATCAAGGAATACCTTGTCTGGAGTGCAATGCTGACCGATGACTCCTGGACGACATATACGGATCTCTGTCGCTATTATAATTACTCGTGGACGTTGACGTGTGCCTTAAATGAGTGTCGCTACGATAGGGACTGGACCCAGTCTTATTTGTACTTCGCGAAGTTGTACTACTCGTTGAAACTCCCACGTGAACCCTTCTGCACACCGACTCTGCTCCGCTGTACGTCGACGCATACGCCAGTGCGGACCGCTGTAACATTATTCGTTGTGCAACCATTTCTTACCTAATTCATACAACGCTAATCTCCTAACTATAATTGTTGTCTACACACCGAGTGACCGTTCACGTTTTGACTGCTGCTACCGTTTGCCACGCTACCTTCCAGCAGAGGCGTCTTCTTCCCGATGCACCTCAACAGGCTCAGGTACAAATTCCTTCGTACTCTGCCGTTGATGAAGCAGTAACCGATCAAACTGAACGCCGCGTGAACCACTACGGCTATGCTGAGTAAGTAAGATAAAGTCGGCGAGTTCTCGGACGCGTTCAGCACCGTCAGGGTCCAAGTCGAGCCGAGCAAAGGCAACGAGGCCACGGACAGCCAGAGTAGCGTCCTCAAGTTTCCAAAGCCCATGATGTGTTCCTTCAACGTGAAAGCTGCCCTTATGGACATGATGAGAATACAAAAGTTGACGAACACTGCTAAACAAACGGGCCCGATCAGGGACCAAATTACTGTTTCGTAAATGGACAACCAACAGCTGAAACAAACAGAAAAAAATCTCGTTTAAAAACGGCGACAAAGTGAACATTTGAAACTGTTTCTAGTAATTTACATACAAATAGAAGTTCCCGTATTGGTCAGCTCTAACGCCAATCGTTAGTCCGACGATGATGGCGGGAGCACCGTAACCCATTGTGTAATAAAACCTCATCTGGCCATGATTCACGTCTCTCATCTCGGTGAGCATTCGGTACAGATGAATCGAGTCGACCAGGGTCCACGAGAACGTGCTCAGCCAGGCGTAGTGTAAACCAATTGCCGTCAATTTGCATGGGAACTCGTTCGAGACTAGAGAACTTCTGGCTTTGAGCGCGATCAGGTAGAGTACTTCGGCGAAGAAGACGCACATCACCAGATTTTTGTGAATGCTGTTCGAATTGGTCCCGCCGCCTCTTATCAAAGAGAGAATCAGCAAGGCGGATAACAATAAAGGCAATGCGAGCATGAACGCGCTGTAACTGGTTACGTCCTCTAACAAAGACGGTTCAGGGACGTATTCCAGGTCGAGGACGTCGGTTAATATCGCGAACGTGGACAGCTGTAAACAGGAGCAGTTCACTACCGTGCCGAAGGACAGGGAATCGTCTTCGACCTCCGTGGTACAGCCCATTCGACTCCATTCGCCCTCTCTGAAACGTGGAAATCAGTTCAGGAATGGTCTTCGTTTTCAACTTCTATTGGAAATTATCTGTTTCAACGCGAACACGTACCCCCTAGCCGTGCTCCAATGCACACACTGTGGATTAGTTCTGGTCTTAAGATCGTCTTTCTCGCTAAGCCATAAACTTATTTGGACAGGAGTCTGCAGAGGTATACCGGTCAAGGATTCATAGCCATCTTCAGTGGGAACTAATACGGATACCGTTATAACCGGTGAACCGACAGCCACTTCGACTCCCCACCTCACAGACACCGAATCGTCGAATCTGTAAACATTTCCGAGTCTGGGAAACCACGTTTCATAGCCTCTTTCGAGATACCATATCGAACTTGCAAAATAAATAGTGTAAAATATAGTTTAGGAAAAAAAGTCGAGTGGACCAAGTTAGATGTACCTCTGGGGCAGAAGGGCTCCCAATTGTTTATATTGCACGTAACTGAACACAGCCTTCCGATTGACTAAACTTTTCTTGACATTCAGTTCTCCTTGCGCTAACGACTTGATTCCCAGCACGCTTAAGGGCACTCGTATCTTGGAATGCGGATCGAATCTACCCGGATCCGCCATGTAATTATTGTACTTTGGGAAAGTAATCGACGGGCCGAAATGAGCGGGCGTGGACAGAAACGCGGAAGTGTCCGGGATTACGACTTTTTGGTCCGCCTCTGTCGGTCTAATAGTAGAAGCCGACGGATCCTCTTTGTACTCTGCTGTTTCGTAACCGAACAAGCTCTCTGAAGTCACCACGTCCAAGCCCAACACTGATAAACACAATAAAAAAGAAAATTAGACAAACATACTAGTGCTAGGGTCTAACAAGAGCGCTACACATTATGACTATCTTTGAAACTGTACTCACCCACGTTAGAGTCGACGACCTCGAAAGGGTTAGTGAAAGTGTCGTGCTGAGAAGCGGTCAGAGTCTTCAAGTAGTTCGCCATTGCTTCCAGAACCTTGTCAGGAGTGTCGCCACTGAGGACCTCGATTCTCTCCCATTTGTCCAAGTACTTGGACATCAAAACGCCACTGGCAATTCCGATTAGATGAGACACGTAATCCTTATCCTGACTGTGAGTCAAGTTCAGTCCGACCAGACTTTCCTCGTATCTCAACAACGCGACGAGCAAAGACTCAGCGATCAGCAGATCCGCGCCGTACATATGCTTGGTTACGTTCACCGCCCTGTGCACGTCCTTCGCAACCTTGACAGCCACGTATGTGTTAAGCGTTAGATCCTTAGCCTCTAGCGCGGCTAACTGATGCCTCTGCTCGATGAAAGCTTCAGAAGTGCAGTTGAAAAGATCAGGCTCCTGCCAGCCGCCTAATGCGTCGTCGCAGGACCTAGAAGTCTTTCCCTCGGCAGTGTCGGGACAGTCCTCCACGGCAGTCATTCCGAACTTGGTCCTAGGCCACCAGAGACCCTCCGCGTAGGATCTAGGGCAGCCATCGTAGACCACCTCGCAACCTCGAAGAGTAACTTCGGCGTACGGATTGGGACAAGCGGTACACGATCGTCCAATCACTCCAATCCGACACCTGCATTGTCCTGTCTCCGTGTCACAGCGAGGACCGAAGCTCCCAGTGGCGTAGCACTCGCAGGGAATGCATTCCTTCTTGCCTGCAAATGTAAAATTGAAAATAAAAGATCGTTGACCTGGTAGCTTATCAGGACATCGGAGTTGGACTTCCAATCCACTATCCACCTGGTTGATTCTTTACTTTCTACGTACCCGACGGCTGATAATGGTTCTCCTTGCAGTAACATTCGCCGGTAGTCTTATTACACGCCGGGTCATAGCCTTTGGACTCGTCGCAGCGACAAGGTCCGCAAACCGGCGATCCCCACCAGGTGGCAGGGCAGGGTTGATCGGCCTTAACTTCGCAATACTCTCCGGAGTACTCGGGGGAGCTGCACTCGCACTTGTACCCTCTGCGAGTGGTATGGTCCTCGATGCACGCGCCGGTGTTGTTGCAAGGATTGAGGTCGCACACACGCTCGCAGTCGCGACCGACACGGCCGGCCGCGCAAACGCATTCGCTGGCCTGCCACTTCGCCTCGCAGATCGATGCCTCCGGGCAGTCGACGTTGCACTCGTCCTCGGAGCTGCAACCGGTCGCGACGTTCTCCTGCACGGTTGGTCGCTGGAGCACGCTCTGATTGGTACCGATGCGAATGTCCTGAAGACAACCGTCGAAGAACGGCAGCTCGCTGTTCATGGCCTGCTCCGGTCCGCCTACCAAGATCCTGCCCACGTAGAGCCCTTGCAGCTTGGCCGGCAACGCGGACGACATGGGTCTGTTCCTGTAGTCGATGTCGAGGGACACCTGGCCGCTCTGCCACACGATGTCTATCCGATGCCATTCCCCGTCCGCCACGCTGTTCCACGTCTGAATGATGTCCGCGCCGTCCAGCAGGGCGACCAGCTTCTCGTCGCGAATCTCGAAGAGCGCGGAGCTGTTCTGCCCGATCTGCACGTTCATCACGAACGCCTGCTTCGCCCTGGTCCTCAGGCTGAGCGCCGTTAACCAGGGGAGCTGTATGGGCCTCAGCAGAGGGTTAAAGCTCAGCATGCCATCCCCGTGGAAACTCCAAGGCTTGCCGACCTCGTCGGCGCAGGTAGGTCCCGCGAAATTCTCCTCGCATTCGCAGATGAATCCCGACCAGATCTCCTTGCACTTGCCGTTGTTCTTGCAAGGCGTCGATGCACAGAACGTGGCTTTCTCCGGGCAGCCGGGGTTGGTGCCGTTGTCCGCCACGAACGAATTCAAATCTATGAACGTATGGTCGATGAACAGGTCGCTGATGCAACCGACGAAGTCTTTGTTCCTGATCTGGAAACTAGAGGGTATGGCGGGCAAACCGCCGAGTTGCAGGGGTCCCGTAAGGTCCAAGAACCTATGACAGGTTTCGGTGACGATACTGCACCGATCCTCGAGCACCTGCTCGCTCCTGCCGGCGCAGGACCATTTCGAACCTAGTCGGTCGCCGTATTCCAGCGCTAGAGCTACGTCGCAATTGTCCAGAGAAACGGTGACGCTCTTGTTTATGTAGGAGACTTCCACCTCGTGCCACTGGCCGTCGGAAATTCCGCCTGGTATGCTCGCGCCGGCTCTGGTGATCTCGTCGCCCAGGGAAAAGCTGAATTGTATCTGCGAGTCCACGATCTCTAAAGCTATGAAGTCGTGTCTCTCGTTGTAACGACCATTGTAGAGCAGAAGCCCGTTCGCTGCCTCGGTAGCGAACCTCAGTCTGATGTGCAGCCTGTGTCTTTGCTTGAGAGAGGCGAAGGTGAGGAACGTCGCCGGGCCGAAGCTGCGCGCCTTCAGCTCGCAGAGCGGCGTCACGCTCTCTAAAGTTGTCACCGGGCAGCCCTCGCAAGTGAACCCGCCGGTAGTTTTGATGATGCATTGCGAACCGCCCTTGCAAATCCCGGGCGCGCACGAGTCTTCCTCGAACGAGATTTCGCAGTTCTCTCCCGCGTACTCGGAGCTGCAGGAACAAGCGTAGCCTCCTTCCTTCCGGTAACAGGTGCCGCCGTTCAGGCAGGGATTCGAGTAGCACAGATTCACTTCCGTGTCGCATAGGTAGGACTCTTTGCTTCCGGTGAAGCCCGCCGCGCAGCGACACGCGAACGTCGTCACCGGATATATCGGTCTGAAGAGTACGGTGTCGCTGCTGGCGAACCCTGAAGCGTTGCCGAACTTCAGCACCGTCAGGCACTCCTCGAAATTCAAGCAGGGCTCTCTGACGCAGAGATTGTCGTCGAAAGGCAACACCGTCACCGTAGCCAACCTCGCCAGTATACCCCTGTTCAAGTAGACCCGCTCCTGGAGGAACTGCGGACTGTAAAACTCGTCCGTCACGCCTGGCTCGACCCTCCGCGCGGAGAAGCTCACGTTCAGGATCTTCCCATGAACGTTCGCGTCCTCCTGCACGCTGAACAGGAATATATTCTCCCTGGGACAGGGTATGATCGCGGCTAAACCGTCCAGAAAATAGCCTAACAGGGGGCTGAGGAAAGCTTCGGCGGTCATGTCGTCCAATCTCACGGTGATGGAGTTCAGGAGCATTTTGTCGGTGATCAACCGCACGGAGAGAGTCATGGTAGCCTTGACCTCGTTGATCCCATCCGTGACGGACACCTCCATGGTGGCTACGCGGGGTACGTTCGTGTTCAGCTGCGGGGATAATCGGATCTCGCCTGTAGTGCGGTTCAAGTCGATTAGGTTCGCGTTGTTGCCGGCTAGAATCGTGTAGGTCAGCTTGTCGGTCACGTCCGCGTCCACGGCTGGTATTTTACCGATCGGAATGGTGGGGAAAAAGTCCTTGAAGTTGTTGAAGATGATCTGGAAGTCTTTCAATACCGGTGCGTTGTCGTTCACATCGGTGACAAGGATCTGCACTAGCGCGTCCGACCTCAACGGAGGCGACGCTGCGCGTATTACAAGCTCGAACTTCTTCTCGTGCGACTCGTAGTCTAATTCCTTGAGGGTGATCAGTTCTGCGCGATCAGCACCTGGCCTGATATTCAGAGCGAAACTGTTCGAGTCCTCCCCACCGATAACGGAGTACTGTACCACGGCGTTGGGTCCCTCGTCTGGGTCATGAGCGTAGATTTCACCGACGGTCGATCCAATCGGAGAATTCTCCGCTATGTAAAGAACTATCTTGTCGTTCTCGAAAGCTGGCGGTGAATCGTTCACGTCCTCGATCTTTATCACCACCGGTACCACGGAAGATAGAGACGGCGAACCACGGTCCATGGCCACTGCTTTCAGAGTGTACCTCGCGACGGACTCTCTGTCCAACGGTTTCGCTGTCCTCACTACACCGGTGGTCGAATCCACCGCGAACGCTTCGTCGCCATCGTCCTCCAACGCGTATCGGACCTAAAAACAACGCACATTAATGGTTGACGAATTTAGAGAGTAATTTAAATGACAAAACCAATTGCAGCGCTTGCGGAAAATATCAGTGTTTACTCTCAAGCGTAATAGCTGCGCAATTTGTAGATGAGATTTTTCTGTAGATTTTTCTAGTGTAAAATTTACAACATCATTTCCCCGGAGATACCGACTAAACAGCAAAATATTCATGGTCATGAATTATAAGGCGCCAACGTCACCCCAGTCTTCCGCTTCATTCCACTTCAAGTCCACTCGAGACGTAGCATATTACAGAGGTCACTCGAGAACAAAGAAGCCAAGCTGAACAATGCCCCTTAAAGTCCCTTACCCTTCCATTGAGATCCGTATCTGCATCGGTGGCAGAAACCCTAAGCACACTGGTGCCGACCAGAACGTCTTCCGGGACGGACCCTTGATATTGTGGCGCCTCAAAGACAGGAGCGTTGTCGTTCACGTCGGTGACTGATATCTCGACGTCGGTGGTGTCCGAGAGGGGCGGCACGCCGCCGTCCCTCGCTGTGACGGTCAGCAAATATGCGGGGACGAGTTCGCGATCGAGCGGACGGGTGGTGGTTATGGCTCCCGTTTGGGGGTTGATGGTGAACTCCGAAGCGCCCTGATCGCCGCTGTCCGTGTCCAAGCTGTAAGTAACCTGAGCGTTCTTCCCGACGTCGGAGTCAGTGGCGCTGACCACCAGAACCGTGGTGCCTATCGGAGCATCCTCGAAAACGGAGACAGAGTAGGGCGCGTTTTCGAAGACCGGCGAGAAATTGTTCGCGTCCGAGATGTTCACGTAAACCAAAGCTGTGTCTGTCCTGCCGCCACTGTCGGAGGCGGTCACAGTCAACACGAATCTCTTCTCCTGCTTATAATCGAGCGGTTGGGCCACGGTGATCAGGCCACGGCCGTTCTGAGACGCGATCGAGAAACGCCCCCTAGTATTGCCCGCGGTGATCTCGTAATGGATCCTGGCGTCTTCATCGGGGTCGGTCGCCGTCACCGAAGTGACTGGAGTACCCGGAGGGTCGTCTTCCGAGACGACTGCTTCGTAATTCTTCGAGTCGAAGTAGGGATCGTTGTCGTTCACGTCGGTCACCGTGATTATCACGCTGGCGGTCGCCGTTTTCGGCACTTCCCCGGAATCCGCTGCTACGATCGTGAACTGGTACCTAAATGAGAGAAAGCGAACCTTGAGCTGGCAGATATTAACTCGGGAAACTATTACGCAACTTCTCTTCTGCCGAAATTTATTTAGGTCTATGTTATCTAATCCCTCGGAGCCTGCTACACAAATTGGAAGCTAAATGTAATTATCTAATTACTTGACATTAGTCGTAATCGAGCAACAAGGACCCTCTACCTGGAGCATTGTTCGCGATCCAGCTGCTTCGTCGTATAGATCCAGCCGCTGTCAGTGTTGACGGTGATCGGGAAGTTCTCCGTAGAAGCCCCAGAAAAGTCTCTAGCCCCGATGGTATACTTGATCTGCGCGTTAGCGCCCTCGTCCGCGTCGTACGCCTGTATCCTGAGCATCGAGTAGCCGACAGGCACGTTCTCGGACACGGACTCTTGGAAGTGGCTGGTGTAAAACCTAGGCGCGTTGTCGTTAACGTCTTTCACGTGCACCAGTAGCTGCGTGGTGTTGGACCTGGCCGGCGAACCGCCGTCCTGCGCCCGAATCACGATCTTGTAGCTCCTGGTGGACTCGTAGTCCAAAGGTTTCACCAGAGCCACGTCGCCGCTCATCGAGTCGATCGAGAACGTGTTCTGCGTATTCCCACCGATGATAGCGTACCGAACAGCCGCGTTGTTCCCGGCGTCAGCGTCGGTCGCCCTGATCCTAGCTATCACGGGGTTCGCCGTGTAGTCCAGGTCCTCGGGGATCCAAACGGAGTACGTGCGCTCGGTGAACTGAGGATAGTTGTCGTTATCGTCGAGAACCCGCACCACTAAAGTCGCGTTCGTCGTTTTCCTCGCGGACGGCGGCGTCGCCTGATCCGACACGCTGAGGATCACCGTGTACACCTCCATCTTCTCTCTGTCCAGGGGTGTGCGCGTGGTCACCACTCCCGACCTGGGGTCTATTCGAAAGGTTAAAGCGTCGTCGCCGTTGGCAACGCCATTCCCGCTGCTGATGGACAGAATGGAGTACTCGACTTCGGCGTTCCTGCCGGCGTCTTGGTCCGTGGCTTTCACGGTGACCACGGTGGAGCCGACCGGCACACCTTCTCTGACGGACGCGTCGTACTCCCGCCACTCGAAGCTGGGCGCGTGATCGTTCGCGTCCAGCACGTTCACTTGCAGGGTGGTGGTGCCTGTCCTAGGGGGGAAAGTGTCGTCCACGGCGAGCACTCGGAAGTAGTGCACGTCCACGCTCTCTCTGTCCAGCCTGGCCCGCGTGGTCACTCTACCGGTGACCGGGTCCAGGAACAGCAGGGACTGCGACCGAGCATCCAGCAAGGAGCTCATCGAGTAGCGAACTGCTCCGCCCTCGGGGTCCCTGGCGCGGACAGACGTCACGTAGACGCCAGGCTCCTTTTCCTCCTCGATGGCCCCCGTGTACAAGTGCTGCTCGAAGTAAGGCGACTGGTTCGTCAGCTCTCGCCTGACTCGCCTGCCCAGGTCCGTGTCGTCCAACTGCCGGTGATGGAACACGATCTTCAAACGGTGCTCGGCGTCCGTGAGCCGCGACTCCATGCCACACCTCAGGTTCATCGAGACCGAGATCTTCCATAGGGGATCCACCAAACATTGCTCCGTCGCCGAGACCAAGTCCCCCGCCGCGCCCTCGATCAGGAACCTGGGGTCCGCGACTCCGCCCCATCTGATCTCGCACTCCTTCAAGGCCGTCTGCGGGAGGAAGTCACGCAACGCGGCGACCAGCTGCGACGCGCGGAGGCAGACCTCGGTGAACCTGTTGCCGTAACGAGAACCGCTTATCAGTGCTAAATGTTAATGGATCGATTCAAATAAACTAGCGAAAGCGCCGTTGGGAGAGACGGCTCGTACTAATTATATTCGGGCGTTATCTTCCTATTCCGAGCTTGTTAGAGAGAAAACTGACATCGGTTTCATCGGTTACACGAAATAGGAAATGATGTTCCCGATATTATTGTCCTTCGTTCGACGTCGCCCACAATTGTATATCTTTCGAACGACTTCGAAGTTCAACTATACAAACATAAACATCCATCGAGATGTAGACGATCCATGTAGATTTCGCGGAATACATTTTCTTTGAACGACGCGACTAAGGAACATTTGCTTAACATCTCTACTCCAACTAGCTCGACAGCCTGAGATTAAACGAATGATCACCTCTCGACGCTGGGCATAGCGTACGAAGCCAGCGTCTCCGCCATCCATCCCCTGGTCGCCGACAGATCCCGGTTCTCTCCTCCGCATCCAGTAATGAGGATCCTCAGAGGCAAGCTGAAATAGTCGATCGCCGGCCTGCCGAGCCTGGAGCTGGTCGAGTCTACGTACAAAGTGAACAGCCGCGGATACTGCAAGCCGTCGCAGCTCAGCGGACGGGCCAGGGTCACGCGGCCGGTGTGAGGGTGGACCTTGAGGAGTTTCCTCGCGAACCAGGCGGTCCTCTCGTTCGAGACCTGGTACTTCCGGCGACCGCCCAGCTGCGGCACCCCGGCCTCGAACACCAACGTGCCGGTCGGCGTGCTCGACGACAGCACCGCCAGATAGGCGTCGCTCAGGGTCCAGAAGGTCGCGAGGATCGGCAGGATCCATTTCCACCTAGCCATTGCCACCCTCTTACTGCTCGCGATCCTTCTCTAGTCCTTCTCCCCGCGGGAACCAGCGTTCCATCCTTGTTAGGTCTCCAGAGCTGCCGCTGCGGGATTCAACTCGCCGCCATCTTGCGCTCCATCTGCCAACAGATTCAAGACAACCGTAGCAGCATTGTGTTCGCTTGAAAAATTTCTTACGCGTTGCACGCCGGGGAAAATGTTCAGTTGCGAGCTGGATTTCGTGGGAGAACATGGGGTACTCTTGTTTAATCTTCGGGAATTGTTCTATAACTTCGATTGCGTCGACCCTTTGCACTCGGAAGTTTTGTCCGCGGATATTCATCGGTTTCGAACGAAATATAAATATAAATGATATAAATATAAATTTTTCCATAGAAGAATGCACTTTTGTACCTCTGTGCTACGATGGATTGTCGGTGCGTTGATTATTAATGATTTTACTTTGAAGGATCAATACGTAACGATATAACGAGCGAGAGAAGTTGTATTCTTCGAGACCTCGGGCTTCTGTTCGCGTGGAAGACAATGAAGCCACGCGATTTGCCGCGAAGGTTATGCCAATTAAATGCATAACTCGTTAAGTAACGAGCCCTTCACGAAGAAAGCGCGTTTCCTGTTCGGACGAGAGAGCCGATGCGATGGCGGCCGCGAAGAACAACGCGTTCGTTAGCGTCGTCGCGAAGTAAATCGCTCAGAAAACGCGGCGGCGCCGGCAGCAGGCAGCAGGCATCCCCGTTTTCTTGCGCAGAAAATCTTTCCACGCAAGAGTGTGAGAATGTGATACCCGGCGTGAAACGTGGGAACAACGATTTCCGTTCGTTTCACCCTCTTTGTTCGTACATTCGTTCCTTTCTTGCACGGTGAATTCGTTGACCCTGTCTCCGTTCACCGTGCAAATTAACACCGGCTCGACGAAAGTCCAATTTTCTACCGTTTTCACGGTTTCTATAGTAACCGGCGGATCGTTCCGACGAAGAGTTAATTGGGCCAAATAAACACTGCAGAGAGTATCAGGCTTGAACGTTCCATCGAGTGACTTAACGATAAATTTGTCTAGAAATTCGAAAAGTGGAATTGATCAATTTGTTCGCACGAAATTGTTCGAGGCAGGACTGTTGCCTGCGGGATAGATCCGGCCGCCGGTGAATGTCATTTCGAATATTCGCAGACGTGGTAACATACATATTAAGCCACGGAACAGTTATTACTCGCAGAAGATATAGTTAACGAACCCATATTTGTTAGCGACGGCAATATAATATATATTAAAACGTTTTTGCCAGTCCGAGCAGATTACGCAGCGACCGGTACAAGATTGTTTAATAGGCATCTTAAATCCGACGATTAATATCCGAGAAACTTGACAATAAATTCTCCACTTTCATCAAGGAATTATGATCGCGAGAGAACGAGTGGGCCTCGGGAATGCAACGTAATAACTTCTTCCTTAATTCCCGCTCGGGGATAAATTAATGGCCCTTTTTGCCGATAAGCGGCGATATCGGGGAGCCTATTGATAGTCTTCCGGGTAGAAAAGTGCCAAGAATCGTCCTGAATGAATCACCTAGAGCAGATTCACGAGCGAGTAACTTCGTTAGCCGTGGTTTTACGACGCCCAATACCGAGCGAGCGCCCGAGGAGACGGAAAACAAAGAGAAGGAGGAAGTCCCGCGAACGAAAACCAGCTGAAGAACTCGTAGGAAACGACGGGATTAACGGGCCGACCGCTTTCATTTCAGCAACTATTTTTCTACTAAAGGATAGCAGCTTGAAACACTCAAAAACGGAATTAAATCTCTTAAAAACTTAGAGGTCAGGATAGTTTGTAAACGACACGAGAAAGGAGTGTCTCAGTGGTTATTCGAGGCAAACAATTTTGCTTTGACTTCCTATCGGTTCTTATTAGTTCGCAGCGTTCCTACGTCGATACAATGCCGAAAAAACTGAGCGGCGGATGACGGGGCATTAGACAGAAGTTGACGGAGGAACGTTCAAGAAATCAGTAACGTATGATGTAGTGAAGCGGAGAAATGTCGACGGAGAAAATCACGACGAGACGTTCCGATCGATCCAACTGGATATAATGGATCGGCATTCTCGCATCCGTTTTAGGGGAGGAAATCGTTACTTCATCCATTGCGCACCAATGGCTGACTCACCTAGGGACCCGACACTTGCTTCTCGTGCGTCTAACGAACGCGACTTCCCGTTGTTTTGTTTCTCAACTAAAGGACACGTGTCCCACCCCTCTGGGTAAAAACAAGACGCGCATTTACCGCGATCAACGCTGGATCGCTGAAAAATAGTAACGCAAAAATCGCTTAGGAGCGAAAAGAACATAAATAATTGCCGGTACGAGGATGAATAAGGAAATGAGCGGCAACGTTAAGAACCGCGTTAACTGTACACGGAAACGATCGCAGTTTAGTCTAACTGTTACACGCTTCCTATTCGCGTCCCTTATTGTCGGGAACGTCGCGTTCTCGCGGCTTTTTTCCATCGACAGCGCGCGCTATGGCACGCTTTTCCCTAGCCTGTCCTTGAATCGCTCGGCGGTGTCGAATGTGGAACGAACAGACGCGACGATTCTTTATTTTCCGCGACTCGAATCAAAGAGACAACTCTGTAGAACTGCAGTGCTCTTAAATTTCAATGGTGCAAGATAACAGACGATTCACTGTCGCGAAAGACGATTTCCAATCGAATTTCGTTACGATTGAATCATCGTTACCGAATGGTCTGCGATTAGATTAGAGTTCACTCGACCCTGCCGACGAGTGGTTTATTTGAACGCGCGAATCCGCAACCACGCCGCTGTTTGCATATTCAGCGCCGGAGAGAAGTGGAAAAAAGGGAGAGAAGGTGGTCGTTAAAAGAAATCGTTGCGCCGCGGAGCGTCGGCCGTAGGAATGCCGATCGCTGGTCGGGTTCAACCCTTTCAGGACGAGTGTTGTACTCTTGGTTATCTTAATGTTATATATTGAGAACCGAAGAATTTCATTCCGTACGGTAAAAGATCAGTCAAGATCGTCAGAATGTAGTTTGATTATTTTCTAAAATACAAGGGTTTGCTATGTAATTCAGCGTTTCAAAGATAAGCGTTCTAACGCTTGCAAACGTCCACAGGGGATCGTCTCGAGAGGGGCGACGATTATAGACGCAGCGTGAAAGTATTACGACTGTCGAACAGCGTAGAGGTGTGTACTCGAATGACCACAGGATGAAGAGGTGTAACGCGAAGAGACGCGACCACGGTTTTTCTCTGCCGAGCGCGAGCCGCGAGATTGCACGTTTCGCGATGTCCTTAACGATGGAGCTGAAAGCATTCCGCGGCACTTCGAATCTAGGACGAAAGGTTCGAATCCTTTCAAGTACCATTTCATTCTTCGGACCTCTTAAAAGTCTCGAACAGATTCGACGGGAGATCGATCAAGACATTAATCTTTTCAAGACTTTCGAAGGAACGCGTTCGAGACCTGTCGAATCATTCGAGGATTCCAAGGCCTATCGAATCAGTCAAACGTCGAGTCGAATGTTCGCGCCATGGGAGCACTCGGAATGGTTGCGATTCGATCGCCCATCGCTGGTCCGAGGCGGCTCCCAAAGGAAGAACGCCGGTCTGGTCGGTTAGGCGCGTTCGTTCAGCCGATCGCTCGCTCGCTCGCTGCTCGCCGTTCGAAGCAGGTCCTTAACGGCGACGAGTGGAAAACGCGTTTAGGAATAACGCGGCGTAATACGTGGACGCGCTCGTCCGCAATGAGTATCTTCCCGTCCCGTTTGTTTTATTGCGTTAGGGGATCGCCGGGTGGTTCTCGGTCCCCGAGATCGCGGGACTAGTTGACCGTAGCCGGAGCACGGGATAGGGCCCCTCTTCTTCTCTTCTTCTCTTCTTCTCTTCTTCTCTTCTTCTGTCTCCCTCCCCTCTTCCCTCTTCCCTCTTTCCTCGTTCCACTGGCCGGTCCCCTCGATTCTCCAGCCCCGGAGGCTAGCCGATCCGGTTTGACCAATCCAAACGGACGGCGGATCGGCACGAACCAATCGAACCGGGCTCCTCGCCTGGCCGGAGTCGGCAGACAACGGCCGAGAGACCGGCTACTCGCCTCCGGAGAACAAAATAACCCGACAGGAAAGAAAAAGAACGGAAAAAGGAGAGAAGCGAGGTGATGGCCACGGACGACGGTGTTTAAACGCGCAGGGACGCCGAGCGGATCCTCGCGACGCGTCCGTGTGACCTTTACCTTCGGGCCCAAGGTACTCCGGCTCTCTTTGCGGTACGAGCCTGGATCGTTGCGCGAGAACCGGGCTGAATATTCATGCGAGAATGCCTGCGGAATTTCATTTCATATGTTGCTCCGATAATGAATGGAATATTTGAATTAGATAATAAGCTGGAGAAAGTTTGATGCGATCATGATTGATGAGGGCGATTCTAAGCTGCCGTGACTCTTGTGCGTTTCTTTCTACGCGTTCCGCAGCTTCGTTCACTTTGGTTCTTTTGATTCCTGCGATTGCCGTGCAGTTGCTAGTCGACTCCTTGTCCTCTTATTTCTTTCTCAACCGCGATCGACTGCTGTAGCGTTCAAAAATATTCAGTAGTATTTCTACTGGTTAAATCTTGTTGGAAACAATCCGAATAATTTTTTCAAAAGGACGACGATTCCAACGAGAAGCCGCAGCAACGGAAACTACGCGACGTCGTGGCGTAGCAAGAAAGTCTATCTATCCTCCTTATCCTCTTGATAATCGTTAACCTGTTAATTAAGAGAGACGACTCGTCATGTCCGTCGTGTTCGACTTCGCCTTTCTTCATCGTCAGCCGTGAAATCGTCTAGAAAACAGCGGCGGTATGTGTTCTCCGCCGGTGGATGACGCGCGCCACGATCCTCGGCTGCCCGATAATTAAATCGGACGTTGCGCGAGGCTAGACTCCGAAACGGAAAGTGTGCGCGTTAATGAACAATGCTTTCGGGAAAGAAGAGGGGCCGCGGTAAAAAGTTAAGTGAGCGGAAGGCTCGGCCATCGGGCGCTCGCTTTCTTCGTCGATCCGCGAGCGGCGCGACGCCTCCGAAGGGATCCACGAGCGTGATCTTTCCAGCGAAAAACGAAATTATAGAGTGGC